CACTCTTTCAACTTTAATTATTCAAGTTTCATTCCCTTTCATATTCTTAACTCAAATATACATACTTAAACTAATTTATATCCATTTATTTCATCTTAAACCTCCAAATTATATTCTCCATATAGAAATCAATAATCATACCAAATTTTCCATGTTATCCAAACTTAATTCTAACACTTCTAACTTCTTATTCTCATAGATGACAAGTCAAATTCATCCTCCAAATTCATTTAAACCTTCTTATTCAAAATTTCACTTCAAAACCCATTTTCTTTAATCTGTCATAACTCCTTTATCTTTTGATTTTAAGATAAATTAAGCTTTCCTTAAGCTTAGTTATCATCTAATGATCAAAACCCAACCTTTAATTCAACAAATAATCAACAAAATCGAAAACTCACCTTTGAGCTTGGAGATAAGGGAGGAAGAAGAATATGAAGAATGGAGAAGAGTTTGTAGATAACTCCCCCCACCCGACGTGAATCATTCATATAAAAGGGGGGAAATATCTTTCTTGTCAAACGACTATTTTGTCCTTTAATTCCTTTGATAATTACTAAAAACTTTTAGGAAAAAATTTCAAATAAATCATTAAACATTTAAACATTTCCACTTTAATCACCAAATTCTGAAATTTTACAATTTAATCACTAACCCATAGTTTGGGATGTTACACTATATTAGTATAACACTGAGGGGCTGTTTGCTGGCTCTGAATGGAACCATTCAACGTTGAATGCTGAACCGTTCAGCATTCAGCGCGTTTCTATCGCACCTCTGAATGATTCAGTAATGATTGATTCAACAAAATAGTGCTGAATGATTCATCACAGAAGTACATTCTGAATGATTCATCACAGAAGTACATTCTGAATGATTCATCACAGAAGTACATTCTGAATGATTCAAATCCGTTATCAAACAACATGCCACATTCAGAGCTAATTCATATAGAGCCTCTGAATCATTCAGCGCTTAATCATTCAGAAGTAAACAAACAATCCCTGAGTTACCACCCATCGAAGTAAGGATAGTTTCCACCCATTGAGAGGAGGCCTCTACTGTTCTACGATTGTTGTAATCTTATTGTAGAATCGGGGGATCACGAGTTGTTCGATGTCATGGATGTCACCTCAGGACGGTTGATGGCGTTGGGGGCAATGACTTTGGATGTGTAAATGAATTTGACACGGGAGGAATCGTCGTCATAAAACACCATTTTTAGACTTCTTTTTCTCTCTCTGTTGTAATTTCTTCTTTGAATTGTTTGCAGTGACAACAATATCTTTATCATTGCTGGTTTTGACGGTTGCCAAACCAGACGTGTGAACATGATATGTTTTTTTGTTCCATTTTTATTATTGGTTTATTTTATGAACCATCCTTCAAGAAGGAGAAGAAAGAGATAATCAACTATCCTTGAAGAAGAAGAAGAAAGAGATAAACACGTCACTCTAGCATGGTTAATATTTTAGCAGTTACCATGTCATTGACGGTGATAATTATTTAACGGTAGAGTGACAAAAAAGTTTAATGTCTAAAGTTCAGTGAGCAAATTGAAAAAATTGAAAGTATGGTGAGTGAAATAGGGAAAGAATAAAATTTAATGAGTAAGTGTATAATTTACCCTTAAAAATTTTACCCGTCGTGGGTGGTTAATAGGTGATAAATACAAAAATATTACGTGAGTATGAAAATGGGAATGAGATATCTGCATCAGCCCCTAGGGCTGTAAACGAGCTGAGTCGAGCTCGACTCGAAAACTCTGAAATGGAACTCGACTCGAAAACTCGCGAGCCTAAAATTTTCAAGCTCGAACTCAAACTCGGAATCATGAACTGAAGCTCGTAAAATCTTAGCTCGAAAAGGCATGAAATGAAAAAAAATCTTAAACTTAACTCAATTGAAGCCTTAAACTCAAACATAAACCTTAAATACATAAAAATTTTATATTTTATTTTTTATATAAAAAATCAATACATAAATATTAATATTATTAATAATATATTTTTTTTTAAATAAAATTTTAATATATTATATTTTTGAGTTACTCACGAGCTTTTCGAGTCGAGTACCAAGTAGTTCGTTTCGACTCGTTAAGAACTCAAGTCAAGCTCGAGACGAGTCCATTCGAATCGAATATTTATTAAATTTTGATCGAGTCAATCTCTCAATCTATCTGGTCTCATTTATCACGCTATCCGTTTACCATCCCTAAACTAAACTCATTTAAAGCCCATCCCCAATCATGGATAATATTGAGTGCGAAAGGTATGAATTTAGCGATGGTTACATGATACAAGAAAACCCTGGAAGTCCATTGACGGACATACATCCAAAATGGGAATCCCACATCGACTTAGCCACAACAGCAACTCAATCTACGTGCACCAATAAGATCCTCAAAATCCTTATCCCCATAATCCAATCCATTTTCCTCATCAAATATTTCTACCAAATTCCCGATTCCCCCATTCACGTATCAAATCAAAAACCTCCACGCCCACACCACACTCTTTTTTCAGTCTCGGTTTCAGTTTATACTTTAGACTTGTATACTATTAGAGCAGCAGCCAAGCCATGGCCTCCGCCGCATGCTTCCTGCACCACCACCATCCACTCGTCACCACCGCCACCAGATCACCATCATCGCAACGCCTAGTGCCAAACGCCAAGCCAAATCAACTCCTGGTTTGCACTGCTTCTCTGAAACATGCAGATCTGATCTCCCGTAGGTTGGCTCTCACCGTGCTGATTGGCACCGCAGCCGCTAGCTCTAAGGTTTCACCTGCCGGTGCCGCCTATGGTGAACCTGGTAACTCTCACCCTCTATTTCACCTTGTATCATTTAGTGTGTGTTTATATTAAAATAGGGAGAGATTTGGTGCTGCAGCAAATGTATTTGGGAAGCCAAAAACGAACACAGAGTTCATACCGTACGATGGAACGGGGTTCAAGCTGTCAATACCATCGAAATGGAACCCGAGCAAAGAGGTCGAGTACCCTGGTCAAGTCCTGAGATACGAGGACAACTTCGACTCCACCACCAATGTTGCTGTCATGGTCACCCCAACTGATAAGAAGTCCATCACCGACTTCGGCCCCCCTGAACAGTTCCTCTCCAAGGTTCATTTCTCATCATTTCATTACATTACAGACATGCATATGTACATACATACATATATACATGTCATATGTGGTTTACTGATTTATTTGCTTCTCATGGATCTTTGCAGGTGGACTATCTGCTTGGAAAACAAGCATATTCTGGCTTAACCGATGCTGAGGTATGGTTTATCAAATAAGAGCGTATACCCAAAAACAAATACAAAAACATGAGAATGCTTAAAATGTTGATTATCCTTAAGTCACACATAATCATGTCCAACACGTTGTTATACCTCCTCCGTATTCTCGTACCTTCAATAATGGTGGATCCAGAAATATTTTTTTTAGGGTGGACACACTTAAGTTGGTGGACACGATCTTCTAAGACGGATACCGGTTACCTTACTCTCCGGTGTCAAGGACATATATACTCACACAAATAAAACTGAGTAAAGAGAGCTTCAACCCTACCCTCATTGTTGATCGTCTTCTCCAAAATCTGTTCTCTCTGTTCTCCATATCTTTAAAATCATGAAATTGGCATGCATGCATGCAGGGTGGGTTTGACTCAAATGTTGTGGCAACTGCAAACATATTGGAGACTTCAACTCCGGTGATAGATGGGAAAAAGTACTACTACTTGTCGGTGCTGACAAGAACCGCCGATGGAGACGAAGGTGGCAAGCACCAACTAATTATGGCCACCGTGAACGGTGGTAAGCTTTACATCTGCAAGGCGCAAGCTGGAGACAAGAGGTGGTTTAAAGGAGCTAGAAAGTTTGTGGAGAGCGCTGCAAATTCCTTCAGTGTTGCTTAAGTCAAAATTCTTACTTTTAGAAGATCTAGAGCGAATAATAATTCTATGTAAATATTCTTAGAAATTATTTGTATATTTCTTAAGTTAATGCCAACAAATGTGTATGCATGTGTGTATGAATATACATGGATAGAGCTAGGAGAAAATATTGGGAGGGACAAAATACTTAATTTTAAAATAATAAAGACTTGTTATGTATTTAATCTAAAAATTGGAGGATAAAAATTCAATTTTACTTAAATTTAAATAATAAGGACTAAGATGTTATTAAACCAATAGTTTGGGAGGGGCAAGAGCCCCTCCCACTCTATCCGTTCCTTTGAATATACATACTAATTTTCTTATAATGAAATTATTTCATTATAGATTCATAAATATTACATCAATTTAATATTCATATTCATATTTAACTTTTTAGTTATTTTCTCTTAAATAACTTAATTATAATGATACTTTTCAAATTGATAAAACGTGTAAGTATTGAGGATTAAATGTATAATTATAATAATTTTATTTCCGTTAGATATTAATAGTAAGTTGTCTAATTAAACATAATTAAATAGTTAAATGGTCTGATTTATAAAATTAAAAGATCAGTGGTAAAAGTAAAAGGACTCCATAGTTGAGTGGTCAATGATATAGTTTACCCAAAATTATATAACTCTTATATTTTTTATTTTTTAAAATATTTAACACCCGACAATATCTCATTTTGCAATGTCACTATTTTCTTAATTTAAAAGAGACAACGATGGAGTGGTTAGTTATAAACCGATAACTTTAGTGATCATTTTGTTAAAAATCGACAATATTAATGATTAATTTGTTACTTTTAAAATTTCAGTGGGAAAAACGAAAATTTACTAAAACATTAGTGACCATTAGTATAGTTTACGCTTAAATAACTAAAATAATAAAAAGCTAAAATGAAAATGTTATTAAAGTTGAAGGACCGTTATGGATAATAAGCTTAAACCTTCCTTAAAATGGAAAACAGTACCCAAAAAGAAGCTAAAAAAACCAAGTAGGTTAGAGGAAAATACCTTCACAGTTCACAAGTACCTTTCGTCACTCTCTCTTTCCCTTATTCTCCGTTTCCCATTAAAACACTTTGTTTTTTTTTCTACGACTCAAAGCTCCTGTGTCATCTTCATCTCCTTCAACAAATAACTCTTTTAAAACAGATTCAAGCAATTTGAACTCTTCCATTAATAAAGAGCTGCCTTCCCACAAAATTCTCTTTATTCTCTGAAGAAAAACATTCAGCATCTCCCATTTTCTGGTACTTTCCCCCGATCGTCTTGTTTCTTCTTTTTCCCATTCGCTCTTTATTTATTTTTACTTGGTGGTTATTTGTTGCTTTTTTTTCCTTTGATATTCGTTTATTGGATCAGTCATTACTATAAAGTTCAGTTTTTTTTTTTGGTTTTTTAATTAAAAAAATTATTTTTTTGCTATGGGTTTTAAGGTCCTTTACTTTATGGTATAAATGTCTCCTAAAAATGTTGCTTGATTCATTAAAAAGTTTTGGCTTTCTTCGATGGGTATTCCCCCTTTTCGTTTTTCGGATTTTTTCTGTAGGAATCTGTTATTTTTTCTTCGATGATCTAGGTTTGTTGTTTTTTTATTGTTTTTATATGATTCCTTGGCTGGATGCATTTAATTTTTGGGAAGAATGTAGCGGTCCACTGTTATAGAATGTAGGTAAAATAATATAAGTTAAGCCCTATTCCGATTTAAGTGTTGTTTAATCTTAGATTTTTGGTGAAAATTGTTGGTATTTAGGCTCTTTTTAACAACTTTTGATAGATGTTCTTTTTTATTTGATTTCTTTAGATGAGTACTTGGCTTAATGCATTTAAGTGTAAGGGTTTTCATGAGAATGTAGCAGTCTATTCCTAGGGCATGTAGGTAGAATAATGTAAATTAAGCCTTATTATGATTTTATTGTTCCATTTATGCATTTGGTGGCAATGCTTTTTAATTGGCTTTTTCTATTTAGGGGGTGTTTTCAGCCTTTTTAGTTCAATTTCCTTGTGCATTCTATGGTATTGATGATACTTGAGTGTGTAAAACAGTCCAGGCTTTATCTCTGAGGTTGTAGATTAGGGGCAGTCGTTTTCTTATTTGACCTTGAAGATATATTCTGGTGGTAAATTTCTGTATGGTATTTTCTTCCAGCAGATGGCATTGGAAACGGCTACTCCAAGTGCCCAAGTTGTTGGAAATGCTTTTGTTGAGCAGTATTACCACATTCTTTACAATTCTCCAGAGTTGGCTCATAGATTCTATCATGACTCAAGCGTGCTTAGCCGGCCGGACTCCAATGGTATGATGACATCAGTGACAACCATGCAAGTAAGCTGCTTGGCTTGTGTTATTCCTTCTCAATGTTGTTCTTTTAGTTGGTTCTAAGAGTTTCTGATCATTGATCTTTAAAAATTCTTGAGAACATTCAGTATGTCTTTAAATTTCCTTGATTCTATACCGATGATGTGCATTTAATAGATGCTGATTTATTACCTACCAATTGGTTAAAGGGCGATGGATGGCCTTATGATTTAGGCGGTACTTACTGAGCATCTGTGCTTGAGTCTGTAGGTTTTGCATCAAGAAATTTGCAGGGTTAAACTTTTTGGAGTTGGTGTATGGTGCTTCTGAATATCATGTCATGGAAATGATATTCTCAATTTGGCAATAAAATATGTGTTATGCTCTAACATTTTTTTCTTCATCTGTGATGTTTGTTTTTGCTTCTATTGTTACTTTCACTAATAAATATGATCTTTGTTGGAGCTTAACTTATTACAAATTTCTTTTGGTTTTCATTAAAAGAAGGCATGATGTTCTTAAAAAATGTCTCATTGATCTGGTCATTTTTATATTCATTTCTTAATTACAATATTGCACATCCATTTGTAACCTTGAACGTAGAACATCAATTTAGCAAACATGACAAATCCATCATACATGCTCTAGGGTGTAATTATTATTATTTGGAATTTGAAACTGTAATATTATCATCCTTTTTAGTTTCCAATAACAAATAGCTTGTAGTTATACTGTGTTATAAATTTATAGTTGCTGTCAGTTTTATACTATCATCTGGTGCAAAGGCCTTCCAATAACATTTTTTTCTTGAACAGAGTATTAATGAAAAGATTCTTTCCTTGGATTACAAAAATTATAAGGCTGAGATTAATACTGCTGATGCTCAGAAGTCTTACAAGGAAGGTGTGACTGTGCTCGTAACTGGATGTCTAACAGGAAAGGATAACTTGAAGAGAAAATTTGCACAATCGTTTTTCCTGGCTCCCCAGGACAATGGGTACTTTGTTCTAAATGATGTATTTAGGTATGTAGAGGATGGTGAATCCTTGGAGAATCAGAAAGTTAATGGCGTTTATGATGTTCCTAGAGTGCCTTCTGCATCAGAACATGGTAAACTTATATTGTCTGCTTTTTCCTTTTCCATATATTTTGTTGGATTTTCTTTCAATATTCTTTTTATTTTTGTTTGCAGAGCCTTCTCAAGGTGTGGATCCTTCTCCAACAGATGCAGCAACTGCTCTTGTGGAAGAGAATCAAAATGTTGTTGAGCAAGTCGCTGAGCAAGTTTCTGAGCCATCAGACAAGGAAAGACAATTGGTCAATGAACAAGAGGCTCTTTCGGTATCCCAGTCGCATTCTCTTAGTAATGATATTCCAGTAGTTGTTGAATCAACTTCTTCAGCCCAAGAAGTTACACCGAAGAAATCTTATGCATCAATTGTTAGTTTATACACGAACATCTACTTTCCAGTTTTGCATTTAGTTGCTTGCTGAAATTTCTTGGTTATTGTTATAGGTAAAAGTACCAAAAGGGAGTTCAGGTCCAACTAGAGTTTATGTCCCCACTAATTCTTCTAGAGTGATGCCCCGGGAAACTGAGAGCCAGCCTCTTTTGTCTCCAGCACGTGCTCCTCCAGAAGCATCTGCACCTTCTAGCATCGATTTTGATGCCACTGAGAGTAACGATATTCCTGAGGAAGGTATCTCATGTGTGTGTGTGTTGTTTACAAATTTAGGCTGTGCGATCTGAAATCATCATATATGCTTTCAGTATAAGACAACTGTGTACTAACTCTATTTAACTAACAGTTGAGGGTCATTCCATTTACATAAAGAACTTGCCCTTCAATGTGACGCCTGCACAGCTGGATCAGGAGTTCAAGAAATTTGGACCCATCAAGCAAGGGGGTGTCCAAGTTAGAAACAATAAGGTTGGTTGCTGGTACATTGAATGAATAATATATTACATTCTATTTCACTAACATTCATTTCTTGATATTTCTACATTCTATTTCTTCAGCAACAGGGATACTGTTTTGGTTTCGTTGAATTTCTGTCTTTGAGCTCCATGAATGATGCAATTCAGGTATGGATCATGTTTGTTATATATACATATTGAAAGAATGTTTCAGATTTATCAGTTTCTTTCAGTCCACTCTTTTTAATGCCCATGTTATTGGGGAAGTTTTTAAAATCATATGGGATCAGTTAAATGTTCTTGACACCACATCCCCTACCACAACTCTTTCAACCGATTAAGGGGCAACAAATTCTCATCTAGAGCATCTTTAGTTTTTCATACTTCTTATTCTTTATATGTACAAGCTCCAAAAGTAGGAAAGTGCAATTTTGTCTACCATCAGGTACTAATTAGCTTCTCAGTGCAAGCATCAAATACCGCACATTGAGAGCAAATCAACTTTTTAAATTAGTCTCTGGGCCACCCCCCCCAATTTCCAGAACATTAATAACCGATAATTATTTATGAATATGTTGCATGTTAAATATCTGTAAAATGTCAATGCCTGGTTTGGGCATATTAATTGTGCTCCTAATTTGGTTCTTCCCCAGTCTCTAGTCAAATCCTTGTTCTTTGAATATTAATATGCAAATGCTTTCATGTTGCCGTACTATCCAAATCTTGATTTGGTGTTCTGTTCTCTGCCTCTTTCCCATCCTATGTCTCATCATTTGCTTGAACGAACAGTGCTTAGCTATACAAATATTACTTAAACCTTTTCATCAGCCGTCTTTTAACAAGTAGTTTTATTTCTGAGAGCCGCTTAGCGTTGTGTAATTTATCTGATGGCCTATATTAGTAGGTCAAAGAAATTTATGTGTTGTGTGAGTACTGATGTTGCAAATAATTTGCGTCATGAAATGATGCATGAACTAGGAAAATGAGTTTTTTTATTTGTGCTCGTGTCTGTAAGCGTAATGGATCAGATTCTTGGATTTTGAAATAAGATTGACAAAGTTTCAGAAAATATAGAGAAATTTGTTTACCCAAGGAAAAAAACCATTCGGGAATGAGTGGAAAGCTTTTTCTATGTGACCTTAAAGATGTCCTTGGCTTCATTTAATATGAAGCTATATTGTTATTTGCTCATATATCTATTGATATGATGGTGCGCTGGCCCACCATGTGTGAAGTGGATTAATCTTGAAAGCATAGCATGATATCATGCTTATACATGAATTGGTCATAATGCAAGGTAACCTATCATGCATGCAGCTAGGTTTTATTATTTATATGGCTCGCCTGATGCTTACCTGGTCTATCTTGCCCTTGCCTTCCACGTGCAGTATGCGATGTAGATTAGTTTTGAAAGGCACAGCATGATATCATGCTATGTTCATAATGCTACCTGATCTCATGCTTGTACATGGTCTGGTCGTAATGCATGGTAACTAATGCATGCAGCTCAGTTTCATATGCGTTATGGTTGATTGATTCTTACCTGGTCTCTGTCTGTTGGATGGGACTTTAAGTATGCTACCTGATTCTTTTGGTGGTCTGATATTAGGATCATTTTTTATCTGCAGTTCTATGAAGATAAGCTAAAATGTATAGTATTGCTTGAAATCGTTCTTACTAATGTGTACATCACATCCTCGTAAACATTTTATATCCACCTGAGTTTTCTTCGACTACGGCAAGATTTGGTTTTCCTTACACTAATCTGATCCCAGCCATCATCTTTTATCATAATTATAAATTTTGCGTAATTAAATGTCAGTCCTTGCTCAAAACCTGCCATTTCCTTGTTCTATTGGAAGTTTACATTTTGGGGCATTGCACTTATTGCATAATGAGCCGTAATATTCAGGCATCACCAATTACAATTGGAGACCGTCAAGCTGTTGTCGAGATAAAGAGAACTTCAACCAGAGTTAAGTAAAAACTCTATGAACTTATAGTTACACTCGCTATTGATTTGAACTTTGAAATATTGTTTGATTTATTTGTGATGGTAAATGTTGTAACTGCATGAACTATAAAGATCAAACTCATCTGATGGTCGCCCCTGCTGCTGTTTCTTACAGTTGGTAATGAAAGAGGTAGCTTCCTACCCAGAAGAGGAGGGTTTCGAACCGACAGCTTCAGCTTCAGGGGTCGTGTAAATTATGTTGGCAACCGAGGCTTCGGCAGAAACGAATATGGGAACCGTGGTGAATTTTCTGGTCGACCTAGAGGTTCAGCTTGGCGTGAAGGGAGAGGAAGGGGTGGTCGTTCAAGTGGACGGAAGCAGATTTCTTCGACTTCAAACCCGATCGAATGAAACCCATTTTTTATTGGCAGAAAAAATCTCTGAGGATGAGGTTAGTACGCAACATTTTGGACATATGTTCGAGTCGCTGACTTTTATCGTTGTTCTCGGAAGATGGAAGGCATTGCAGTAGCTTAGAGAATTTTGTGTAGGGCATCTTGTTACTGTGGAAAACTTAAAGGTCATCCTCAAGATTTGATTTATTATTTTACATTTGATGGATATCACTGAGTTTTTTGCTGTAAAGAGACCTCTAGCTTCAAAATTCACGATGGGAAGCTTTTTTTCTCTTTTATTCGGTTTCAATTCACTATCGTTTCTTTGTTCAGATGGATACATTTTCTTTTTTCTTTAGTGCAGCATTAGACAGGAAAGAATTATATATATTAAAGTTAATTGCATTGTCGGTCTCTAAACTGTGACCACGTAGCCCGTCAAATTTTAAAACATTTTATGTATAGGTGAACGCTCGATCGAGTCGAATCAAAAAATTTCGAGTTATTTGAATTGATGAGTCTTATTTTACAACTTGAAGGTGACTTAAATCTTTTTGAGTCAAGTCGGATTTTTGAATTTCTATTTATAATATTATGATATTATTTGGTTCTAATTTAAATGATTTTTTTTTATAATTATACATATAGATGTATGTATATATATATTTTCATGTGATATACATAAATTATATAAAATCAAGGGACTCGATTCAAACTTGAAAATCAATCAACAAATTACTAAGATTTTCAAGTTATTCTATTTACCATTCATGTAGAATAGTTGTATTTTACAACTCGATTTGAACTTAAAATTTTTTCACATACAACCGAGTAATTTAACTTCTCCAGTCCAACAGAGTTCCATATACATTAATCTTTCGAGTTGAATTATTTTTGAATAAGATTTCAACATAATTAAAACTTACTAAAAAAATTATCTATGAAATAAAAAAAGTTCAAGTCTATTACGTGTGTGAAAGATTAATACCCACAACTAAACATATTGTCTAGAACTGGAAATGATACTAATTTTCGGACATCACATTCTTGACGACTAATGCTAAGTTCATAGTTGGAGCAGAGAAAAAAAAGGGTAAAGACGGTTAAAAGAAAATTACACTTAATATAGAAACCTATAAATATATATACCGTATAAAATTCTTTTAGTTTTACATTTTTTTAAGACTATTGGATAAAAAATTAGAGGCTGAGATTAATATAGAAAATGATGAGATATTCACTAAAAAAACGAAAAATTAATCTTAACCTTTGATTTATCTCGATCCAATGACCCAAAAAAGATATAAAAACAATTTTTTTTTTTACACATTGCAAGTAGATCCTAACCTATATATATATATATATATATATATATATATATATATATATATATATATATATATATATATATATACAATATTTGGCAGCACATTGGTAGTAAATTACCATTTTATATAACAAGAACGTGTAAATCAAGTCAATTAACCTATCAATAAAAGATTACAAAACTGATTTAGCTCGTTTACAAAAATTGAGGAACACAATGCACAGCACAAAGTGCTTTTGATCCCCCATAACCCCATTCTAACATGAAAACAGTTTTTAAAGTGGTACTCCAAATGGGGGAATGGGATGTGGCTGAATTTTCACTTCTCCCAGTCCCAATAGCCACTCTTAACACATTTTCCTACCGAAACAAGTTATGTCCCGTAAATATGTCTCTGAACAGGTGCAGTATCCAAAGACTTTACCACTTCCATCCATGGTTTATCTACGATCAAGATGGAATTTCTCGCAAGGCGTCCGATAAATAAAACAGGGTCTCGAAAACCGATTATGTCAAAATTATTTTTTCCATTAGTCTATTTAGAATCTTTCTTACCAGTATCTCTCAACAAATGTTTCCATTTGGTTTTGGTGAGAGACCCTTGAGGCTTCAACAAAGCCTCGTGTACCAACTCACTTTCATCACCTTCATCTACTCCCTTCCCAAAGTCGATCGAACACATCGCCCTGCAGTTACAAATTCCATGCATCAAAATAATTTATCATAAATGAATAAAAAAACCACACAGAAATGGAATTTCATCGCAAAAGAAGTTTAGCTGGGAAAAGGAGGAGAGAAACAAAACAAGTGCCAGACAATTAGCCACGATGAATATTTCCTCATGTCTCCACTTAAGTATATCTGCCCTAAAATTATGGAAGGATCATAAATTTACTAGATCTCCAAACTTCCTAAAAGCAATTAGAAAAACAACACTTGATCTGCCCAAAATTTTGTGGGAGATAAGATTATCAGTTTTAAGCTAACAAGCTAGCAAAATAGCAGGCATACTAAATATGCAAGGATGAGAAGGTAGCAGAAGAAACCAGCAGGCACCTCGATAGAACAGCACAAAGTAAAGCACCTATACCCCTAACTTGGTCATGCCAATCACAATGGCTAATATATATTAAGATACGGGCTACAATGACAACATAAACACGAGTAAAAGAACTAGCACCTTGCAGTCTTGCACTATAAACAACAACAGATGTTGATTTTGATGGATTGGAGGATGATGGAGGGGAAAAATATAACCCAATAACCTCCCCTGGAAATTCTTGGTATCTTTTGGGAAGAGTGAATGTATGCTGCGTTGACCATTCACCCAATTGCCTAGCTTCCACATCAAATATATAGAACTGGTTTGAAGATGTTGTGACAATAAGCGAGTTATTATTCTGAGGAAAGCCACCAGCGGTTACAGAGGCACCATCCAATCTTGATATAAACCAGTGCTGCCTGGTTCAGGGAAACAAAAGTTGATCAAAAGAAAAAAGCAAAGCAGATGAAAAATAAAAACATTCAGCCGCTCTCATCACATCATGATTGATCATATATTTGAAACAGCATTATAACTAGGTAGCTATTAATTGACAACTATTTAATAATTGTCTCAAATGTAATTTCGTACCTTAGTGTCTCCAGACTGAATAAATATATATCTCCAAAGCAGTTGATAGCAGCTAACCAGTGGTCATCAGAACTTGTGAACATTTCTGTAATGGAAGACTCTCCAAATCCACAATCTATAAACCAGGAAAGTAAGTCATTAGCAAAGATCACACACACACATTACCCGAACTCACATATTCAAAGGTTAAAAGAGGTTCTACATTTTGCTATTGAAAACTCTTTTGCTTGTTTGATCCGTACATTCATATTATGTTAAAATAAGCAAATGTAGTAGGTTGAGTGCACATTAACACACAAAATATAAATTTCCAAGTTTAAGGTGGAAAATATTTGCTTGAGTAAGCCATTAGAATGAGGTGAAAGACCTCAAAAACCTAAAATTTATTTATTAGGATAAAAATACTCTTCCCCAAACCTAAAAAATAAAAATAATGAAATAGATAATTTGTGAAAAATCACATTTTAAAAACTACAATAAGGATAATACAAGAAAGCCATGAGGGTAGAGGCTTACATAGATCCTTCTATCATGGCCTGCTATAAGCAACCGTGACCCATCAGAGGTAAAAACCATAGAATGTGCAGATGGAAGTTTCTAAGGAAGTTGCCTTTTACTGACCGTCCATGTACTCAGTGGCGGATGCACGTAAGTGCATACTTATTATTTTTAAGAAAAGAAAATTAAAATTTTGGACCCAATTTTAAATTTCTGGAACTACTTTGGCCAGATTACCTACTTAGTGCAAACAGGCTGGGTCTAATGAGATCAGAATAACCGAAAAGCTCCCCTGGGTTAGCCATTGCACTGCAAATGATTTTTCGACAAGCCTTACTCTTAACTCGACCTACTATATTAGTGGTCAGGGGACCACCATAGGAGCCAGAACCCACATCAGGAACTTTAACACAGAGCACATCTAACCAATGAGAAGCCTGGACCAGGAGAAAAGAAGACCGGTTGAACCTTGTGCTAGTGACCAGTTGTATAGGAACTCTCTGTGGTGCAGGGCAAATATCGTGTGGGGAGAACCTAGTAAACTCTTTAGCAGAGTATGCAAATAGCTTCGCATCACCACCAGCAGAGACAAGCGTGGGAACTCCAAAATGAGCCCATTTACCGTAAATGAAATCAAAGGGCTTCTTCTCCCTAGATCGAATTCTTTTTACTTTTTTCCTCGTCATCTTGCAAGTCTTTTGCTTAATCAGGTAAATAACCTAGAAATTAGAAGGAAAAAAGAAAAGTTAAAAATTAATAAGTACACAATTTATTTAACTAAAAAACAGTAAAAATGCAAGTTCAAAATTAGTGAAATAAAAAAAACAATAAATAGACATGAATCAAAATCGTGAGCATACTTTCAGAACTGATAGGCATCGCCATTGTCAAGGCTCTAACATCATGAGTATGAGCTCCTACAGAACCCACAAATACCTATTTTTTCAACATTTCAAAAGAAGATTTGTCATTATCAGACTGAAGCATCTCACACGAAGCTCATAAAAAATAAACTACAAAATTTAATAACACGGTAGACATTAGTGACAAGGACCAAGATTAAATATTGTTAACTTGATGCAGCAAAATTCTAAAAGAAAAACATTATAGCTGAAAAAGAGAAAACTATACACCTATTATTTTCTGTCCTTGTTTAAATATTTTAGCCTTAGAAGAATTTAACAGCTTAAATTTCTATAATTAATTTTGCATCTCGTCGCTCCCCAGCTTTTGAAATAATTAATTTTACGCACCGAGTGAAAAAAAATTCTTCACAAACAATATTTTAATATTAGTATTTATTAAAAAAAAAGTTTGGAGAAGAAAAAAATATTAATTTTATTAAAAATGTTATTTTTTTGTTTTTATAATTAATTTTAAATTTTTGATTTCTTTTTTTTTAATATATCATTATTTATAAGAATAAAAAATAAATATATTTTAATTTATTAAAACTAGAATCAAATTGAAAGAATATATAAATAACATAGATTGTTTGTGTAATTATACCATCCAATTAAAACTGCTGTTAACAGGCCACGTGTCCTTTCCGGCAAGTAAATATTAGTGACCGATTTATAACTTTTGAAACATTAGTGGTGAAAACAAAAAACTTACCCAAACATTAGTAACCATTGAAATGGTTTACCCTTCAAAACAGTAGTTTGAAAGAACTAGATCTCTCATGCGTGGGTTACACCTCATCGTAAAAAGCGATATAATTTGGTCATTTTATTTTATAATTAAGCCTAAAAAGATCGGTAATGTTATAAAATATTTTCTTACATATTTGATGAAAAAGTCGACATTTTTATCAACATGGAGATTTTGGTAACACCTCCTCCACTCTTCCTCTTGCTCGACATTCAAAACATTTCTCAAATAAGTCAATCACCCTAAGATTGCATTATGTCAAAGAACACAAAGCTTGATGCCTCTTCATGCTCTTTGCTCTACTTTCTATTTGCTTCCACCTAATAACTAAGCTATTCCCAACTTTAAATAACCCATTGTCACAAAAGATAAATTTGCAAAATACAGCTCTTGCCTCTTCTGTAACCATGCACACAATCTCTTTTCATCACTGCATCGAAGCCTTCAGACGATCGAGTAAGCTAGCTGTTACCTTCGTCTCCTTTCAACGAATCCGAAGATTCCGGCCGACTGCCGAGGTTAGCAACCAACACTAACATGCATGGAAATAGATAAGCTTGGCAGAGTTTTAGAAGAGTATGTTCAGATAGAGAACGATCCATCCCGCCATGGAGAGAACTGCAAAAATATGGACCCAAAATAGCACAGCAGCTGCCTCCTTTCCACAGCCTCTCAAATTCGCAACAGCACCTATTCATACGAGTAGAAGGGTTAGACGGTTCATACGAGTAAACATAGATTATACCCGAAGTTGAGTTCTTCCAAGAACATCTTGCACATGATAGGGTTCATACCAGAAAGAACAGATGTTGGCATCGAGTGCTGAAGGAGTAGGACGAATCGAAACATCTTGTCACCAACAGGAAGGAAACCAAGCTTGTCAGCCAGCATTACGATTCCAAGTCCTGCCGGAGGCACCAAGATTAGGCGCCCAAAAATAATAGCAGCAAGTGTTCTTACACCAATTCTTGAACTTCCAGGCCCAGGTCCTGCAAATCAAACATGGTAAACCAGAACATGTCAAATTTAGAACATTATTAACGCACGCTTCAATGGACCGTGGTTAAAACGTGTACGTATATCAGTTTTAATGACAGTCGACTATAAATGAAGTATAAAATGGAAAACTAAGCACGAAGAATTTAAACATACCATCAACAAGGTTGCCTCCTAATGCCAACAAAATGCATGGGATCATGGCTTCCCTGTTAACATGAAACATCATTAAACAAATCACAAATTCAAATGCCATGATACAGACACTAATAGAAAGCATCGTTTTAGCTACAGAAACAAGAAGCAAATTATGTTCACGAGACCACGCAAAGCGTACCCAAGAATAATGCAGCTGTCTGTGAAGAAATAAAGCGGAGCATCAGTTGTAAATATTAATCTTTTCAGAAAAGGAACTGTGCCCAGAACCATGGCTAGGATCTGCAGAAAGTGCACAATTGCGATTCATTACACAAGGAAGAAGAAAACAATAGTTGGTTCACCAAAATAGATATGGAATAAACTAAAAACACTGAAACTTACTGAAGCAATAATAGGGGGTTGAAGAATTTGCTTGAGCTTTAACTTCTCATAAATAAATACTAGAAAATCCTTAATCTGCACAAAGATCACAGATATTCATAAAAGATAATTGCAGAGCAAATACTGAACAAATCCAAATAAATATTATCCTAACCTTTCCCTTAGTATTTGAATCATCTGAATCCGTTGGTACATCCACTTGCTCAAGCAATGGAGCATACTCAGAAGAGGTACCCATCTGAGGCATCTTACAGGGAAGACTTGCTTCTTCAAGGTCAAAGGTTCCTTCAACAGGAGGAGCAAACATACGGAATACATATGTATATAGAATGATTGCGCCGACCTGGTATATAATGTGGATTAGAACTCATTCATAGAAAGCCTATTATATAAAGAAACTAAGGGTACCACTACCATGTTTCAACGAAAAGCAAAAATCCAGAGGAACAGTTTGAAAAGGAAAATTTCAGTGCAACAAATATCGTTCATAACAATCGAAATAAAGTACAGAAACTAAATCCGCGCATACTATCAATTGGTTAAAGTAAACATACCCACTGTCCAAATGAAATATATGCTGTTCCCTGGGTGCTACATGTTTCCGAGTCACCAAAAGGATTGGATGTATCTCTACATAATGCTGCAATCAGAACAAGTGGTACATTCCCAATGTTCCCTGTATCGAGTGTCGAGTAATTCATCATATCAGGAATGGTTAATCGATAACATATACAAAAAAAGCAACAGTGTAAATAAACACCGACAATGTGTCATATGAACAACTGATATCTTCTTTGGCTTACCAATTGCAATTTGTACGATTGAGAACTTGAAGTATGGGTATGGAGGCTTCACCAAGGTTACAACCACAAAACCTATGAGCGAACCGACCAGGGCGCTGAGAACGACATTCACAGGTATGAACCACCTGCAAGCGCAACACAATTGAGTGGTAGATAAGATTAAGATATAGAGCTCAATTTTGAGCTTTGATGATACCGAGATGCAACAAGGAAGAAAACAGAGCCATGAGTCATACATAATCACATACATACCACTCAAGCATTTTCTGTAGAGTTATAGCTTGTCCGAGTTGAGAAAAGATTAAACACGGAAGCAAAAGAGAAAACACCAGCTGCAAATTACATGAAATTTCATCGAACAGGGGTCATAAAAAATCAACAAAAACGAGTAAAAACAATTACAAAAAATCCAATATTTTGAGACCAACAAAAAGAAGAAGAAAAATTACCCCGTTCAAAAGCTTCCGGCCGTTAGCAGGCAAGATATTAACATACTTGGAAGCCATTAAAAAACCAAGAAAACACATGGTGAATACTTTGGCAATCGGCAGCACCGCAATCTTTATGCTTCCTAACAACGACTCCCCGCCTCCGCCGGCCGCCGATAGAAGAAACCTTTCCATCTTGACTTTTCTTCCTCCTTACGAAAAAAGTATCACGTTCACCTCCTCTCTCTGAAACGCTCACTCCGATGAATCTTATTCAATTCTCTGGATCTAAAACAACAATCTGGTTTTATTCTAAATATGAACTATTGTTTCACCAACAGATGCTAACTGCAAATAGCAAAACAAGCTTTCTATCTACCTATTGATCAAATGACTTAAAAAAGAAAAGAAAAAAAGGGCAGATTTGGTTATGAGGTTGGAACTTGGAATTCGTTTTGGGGTTTGGCTTTTGATTATCCTCCTCTTCCTGCCCAGTTTCTCTTCTACTGGATCTCTAGTGTGATTCGCTTGATTTTGTTTCTAATTTTTTTATTTTATAGACTACGTTCCATGATCTGCTGCTTATATATTTGTTTTACTATTGAATGTTTAAGGTTACCAGAGTAAGTTACCGGATTACCCTTAGTAGTATTTGGTTATGTTTCGTCTTTTATTTTGGATTACTAAGCTACCCTTAATTGAGTCTGTTTTGGACTCTTGTGTTGTTGTTGTTTTTTTTAACTTCAATTATTTTTGTTATTTTCTTTTAAAAAACAACTTTATAAGATAAATTATGTATTCAGTTATCCATTTATTTTTTATAGTTTTGTTTTCATTATCAAATTATCTTTTTTATTCATATCTAACGTTATATTTTGATTTTGTTTTGATCATTTATCATTAAAAATAAATAGAATTGTTGATGCAGTAATTCTTTTATTTTTTATTTTAGTGATAACATGATATTACTTTATATAATACGTCAACGTCATCATTAATTTTTTTAATGACGGGTGATAAAATAGAATTAAAATATAATGTTAAATATAATTTAAGAAAAAGTGACTAAAATGAAACTACTAGAATAGATGGATGACTAAATACGTAGTTTTTCCATGTTTTATTTTTATTTTGATTGATTTATTGTGTTTATACTAACAACGGAGAACATGTGAACTCTGAACAATGGCCAAATGAAGCAAGGTTTCATAAATTTTAACTATTGGTTTGACCTGTTTAGTACTTAAATTTTTAAGTTTTTTAAAATTATACATAAAATTTATCTTTTGTTTCATTTTTAGTACTTCGCTGTCAAAAACTTTAGTTTTTATTTTATTTTAGTACATTTTGTTTAAAATTTAATATTAAGTTTTGAAAAAATTAAAAGTTTAGGTGCTAAAACAAATCATATAGTTTAGATACTAAACGCGTTAAGTTTTTAACGAAATGTACTAAATGAAATGAAAACTAAATATTAGGCATGATTTTGAAAAAAATTAAAATTTTAGGTACTAAAATGAATCAAAATTGATATTTAAAGTACTAAGTGCAATTTACCCTAAAACTTAATTCTAATTAGAAATTATTCCCTTAACTACGACTAAGTGTTGGATTACGTAACTCTCTGACATACGTTGTTTTCAGTTTGATACTGATGCATGCATGACATGGATTTACTTTGACTTAATTATTATTATTATTTAAATAAATAAATTCATGTATGCTGATTATTTTACTTTAGAATATAAATATTGAGATTTTTTAATACAAAGATAGAGTTCAACTTTTTTAATTTTAAAGTAATATATGAATTTATTTTTACTTTAAATAGAACACAATTTATTTGTATAAGTTCGGTTTATAAAAAATCATATAATTTTAGCCTATATGGTGTTCCCATTAGAGTTTGTGTTACTAGGGTGAGCAAAACACAATTCAACTCGAAAAATTAAATTTTTCGAATCGATTCAAAAAAACTCAATTCGAATTGACTTCGAGTTGCAATTTCATAAACTCGACTTGACTCGAAAAAATTTCAAATTCAAATAGAGTTGTAAAATGCAACTCGAATAACTCAAAGTTTTTAGTAATTAGTGGATTTATTTTTAAGTTTGAATTAAGTCCTTCGACTTTGTATAATATATGTATATCACATATGAAAAACATGAAAAAATATATTTATATTATATATAGAAAGTCACTTAAATTGAAATAAAATAATATTATAATATTATAAATATTTACAAAATTTAAACATAAACTCAAAAAATTGACTCGAAAAAATTTCAAATCAAGTCCGAGTTATAAATAGGACTCGTCAACTCGAATAATTCAAAATTTTTTGATTCGATTCGACTCGACTCGATCGAACGCTCACCCTATGTGTTATCAATCATCACGACAAATTTTTTATTATTATTATTATTATAGAATTAAAATTATTAAATCGAAACAGTTTGTGCATCACACGAATTAAAAAAATACTAATAATATATGCAATAATCTAATTTAGTATTTTATAATCTATTTGAACTTTGAGTTTGATTGTAATGCTAATTTATTATTCTTTCTATTTTCCAATTTAGATAAGATTTTAAAAATTATCTAAAAATAATTTATTTTAATTTTATCTTTTGATAGAATTTTAAAATACTTTAAATTTAGGTTTTTTTGGATAAATAGAACATTTAAGTGTTAAAAATTTAAAAGTTGAATTTAAATTAGAAAAATATTTGAAATTTTATTTAAAATTAAATAGTGGATATAACTAAACTGATTGATAAATGTAATTTTTTAAAGAATAAATAATTAAAAGAAATAAAAATAAAATAAAAGGTGTTCAAAATAAATTTCATTACACGATGAGTATCTCCTTATCTACAAACTATTTTTCATACTCTTCATTAAAAAATTCTAATAAATATTTTTAAGTTCAAATTATCAAACATATTTAAGATATTAAATCGCATCAATTATTATTTTTTAATTATTTAAATTTTTGAGTGAATTAACCAATAAATCCTTAAATATATATATATATATATATATATATATATTGATAGTACAAAATTTTAAATTATATATTTTTAATTAAGTATATAAGTATTATATTTTCGAGGTAAATGTCAAAAGATATGAACTCACACAAGATGAGATAATAATATAAGAACATCCTTAATTACTCGTTCAATTAATGAATCTCCGACCTATAAATATTTGGGTTATTTTGGTTTAGTACCTCAATTATCTATTTTATTTCATTTTAGTCACTCGATTATTTTTTAAATCATATTTGATATTTAATTTTGATTTCATTTTGATTAAAAAACTAAGAGTGATGGTAACAAATCACTGTTAACATTGAAGAAAAAACATGTTACTAATTTTATTAATTTTTTAACTGTTAGTAAAAAAAATTGTGAAATCATGTGAAGTAGTGTCTTCTCATCTCTTCTATAACATTCTTTGACTTGTAAGATTTACTTTCATACCTAACTCCCAGGTGGAAAGAAAATATCCCATCATCTGAATTGTAATAGTAGTAAATTGCATTATTATTGCCATCCATAATCATGGCCTACTGGGTTGCGTAACCCTATAAAAAAAGCAACACTTTTAATTAAAGCTAACTTTCATGAACACGAGATTCTATTTAAGGATGTAAATTAGATAAGACATATTATTAGTTATTTAAAATTGAGTGAATTAATGTTTGATAAATATTTAGATCGAATAGATTCGATTTGAGTTCAACTCGAGTTCTTAACGAGTCGAAATGAGCTACTTAATATTCGACTCGAAAAGCTTGTGAGCAGCTCGAAAATATAATATATTAAAATCTTATTTTTTAAAAAATAAATTATTAATATTATTAACATTTATGTATTGATTTTTTTAAATATATTAAGATTTTCATGTATTTAAGGTTCGAGTTCGAGTTTGAGGTTTTAATTGAGTTAAGTTTAAGATTTTTTTTCATTTCGAGCATTTTCGAGCTGCTCACAAGCTTCAGTTTAGGATTTTGAGTTCGATTCGAGCTTGAAAATTTTAAACTCGTAAGTTTTCGAGTCAAGTAGATCTAGATTTTTTAAGTCGAGTCAAACTCAGCAATACTCGAACTCGACTTGGCTCCTTTACACCCTTAATTCTATTATATCTTCATGATATTCAATTTATAATATATTATTATATTCCTAAATAATATGTATTATATTTTATCAAAGTTAGACCGTCAAGGGTTATGTACCTCAGTTGTGTTTTTTTTCCTTTTCTATAAAAGGGAATATTTTTTTATCTAAATATATATTATTTTAAATTTTTTGGGTAAATTATACATTTAGTACTTAAACTATCAGTTTTGATCCATTTTAATACTTATCTTTTATTTTTTAAAATCATACCTAATGTTTAGTTTCTGTTTCATTTTAGTACCCACTGTTAAAAACTTAATGCATTCAGTACCTAAACTATTAGTTGCGATCCGTTTTAGTACCTAAGCTTTCATTTTTTTTCAAAACTTAACTTTAAATTTTGAACATGGGTACTAAAATAAAAGAAAAACTAAAGTTTACGTATGATTTTGAAAAAAAATTGGAAGTTTAGATACTAGAACGGACCAAAATTGATAGTTTAAGTATTAAATGTGTTATTTACTCATTATTTTAATTTAACACTTATTTCAAAATCATGCCTAACATTTAGTTTTTGTTTTATTTTAGCACCTACCGTTAAAACTTAACAGACAGGCCGACGTGACATAACTCCAGTGGACTGGCGACCAATCTAAATGGTGGACCACGAGAGAATGACGAGTCGATCAACATATTCTAGTTTCAAGCTCATCGGATGATGAACCATGGAGATATGCGAATGAATAAATCGAAGAGTTCATCGTCGATTTAGAGAGATTGAGATTTTTTCGGTGAAACGAAGGTTGAAATCGTGTTCCGGGGGTCGAAAAGGTACGAGCCAAAAAGTCGATGTGACGACCGACACTGTAGACGCGACAGCTGACGAGTATGTCCGTTAACATTTAATTATTTAATTATTTAAACAATGTCAATCAAATCATTTGTCATTAACATTTAACGAAGACAACATTATTTATATATTCTATCAATTTGATCATAATTTTAGTTAATTTTATATATTTTATTCTTATCCGATGATAACATGTCATCAATGCCATTTTCTTAATTTTAATTTATTTAATTCAATAATTTATCTTATAATTTGAAAACTTAGTGACAAAGCTTCCTCCATCAATTGCTAATGTTTATCACAATTCCAGCAATAATGATATGCAATAGCTACAGGGGGAATCAAATGTGTAGACCAGTCAATGTCACTTTCTTTCAAGTTTATTTCGCTCCACCAATAATGATATGCAATTGCCACGTCAATGTGCGATCCTACGTAAGTTTAGCACATCATCTTATTGTGTCAGTTACGAGTTGAGTAATAATTTTCATCCATAAAATGATTATTTTAATTTTAAAAACGTTTAAGGTTAAAGTGCATCAAAGAATGTGATAT